AGCGCTGGGCCATGAATGGCGACCATCACTTAAAGCTAAAGAAAACCAACAACGCGATGGTTACAAATGTTCTGTTTCTCTGAAGACGAAATGTCACTTTCCACAAATGCCGATTGCATCGGCCACTTTATGGACCTGAAATTTAGACGCTCTCAGAATACTGCATGAAAACAGCTACACTTATAAATGATGTGCTAGCAAATGCTGCCAGAATAAAAGAGAACACAAACAAAGAACCGTAACAGCAAAGCAGTACGACATACAGAAACTTAATCGCTGTAGGAACAACACCGGCTTTAAGGGTTTGCAAACGTCATGTACATATATCAGTCGTTGCTCATATTAAACTGATAATATCCCTGCAACAGACTTTGTTATAATAATCTTCAAGTCTACCTCCTGCAGCTACGGGCCTGTAACGAGCTAGCTATTGGTCAACTCTAGATTTACTTTAAATTTACTCATGTGCAATGGCTTTTAGCTAGGTATCATGTGGGTCACAGAGAACTAGGAAATCAACACAGAGAGAATAGAAATCAGTCCGGGATCATTCACTGAGTTGTTTGTTAAAGAGACTCTAATCATTCATTTTCTCACTTTTCAGGATTAATTTTACCTTCGCTCGAACTCAGCGTTTCTTCCGGACTATGTTCAGCACAGGTCTGCGTCTGGGGCTTAGTCGATGTCACAGCGTCGTTATTAGAACCATTGACCAACGGCTTCTTCTTGTAAGCCGATCGAATCTGATGCATCTTGTAATAATAACGCAGGAAGAAGTCTCGCTCAGACACGGTCGCCGGCTCATCAAGTACCTATACAGATCAAATACGAATAGCATGAAGCACAAATGCTGAAACGACAGAGCACAGTACCAGCGTTGAGTAGTACTGTTTAAGTTTTGGACGACTCTCAACTACTTTGCGCAGTTGTGCATCGGTCATGCTAAACTTCGAAGCCCACTCGGTAAACAACTCCTGAGGACCATCCACCACATGAAGATATGTATCGACATCGTCTTCGGCAGCGAGTAACAGCAACTGAAGCAAACGGACTACAGTGAATAGGCTCCACAACGCCGACTGTTGCTCATCAAACCTGAAGTTCGTCGCCACCGTTCAGCGGTTGGTTCCGCCTGTCGTCACCATCGTCACTCACCGACGTGACGGCGACTTCATATTTTTTTTCGTCTTTAGTAGTATCTTCTAAAAGTAACGCTGAGTTCACCGTATCAACGAGCGACTTCACCCAGGAAGTTGCAGATTCTCTGGTGATCTGAGGCGCGTGTTCACGCAAAACCGAAGACGTAGTCGACACTATGTTCGAGGCGCCTTCTTGCACAGTGCTGCTCAACTCGTCAATATCTCGCTTGACGCTCTGCAGTGTAGTCTTCGTCTAGCAAAATGGATTTTGTTGCAAGAATCACTGTAAAATATTCATTATTCTACTACTCAAGTAATCAATTTCCTGAACAAATCTTCAAAGGAAAAAATTTATGAATTCAGAAAAATGCTTAAAAGCATACTTCACCAGACTTAGGTTAATATGCAAATTCGTTTAGTCAGGCAACGGGCAAACAGTGATTAAAATGAGTAAATATGAAAAACTAATTAATTTCATAAACTTTACAGTTCGCAGCATTACCTTAAAACAGTTAAAACAAAGTCACAGCAAACTGTCTTAACGGCAGCAATGAGTAAATATGAAAAACTAATTAATTTCATAAACTTTACAGTTCGTAGAATTACCTTAAAACAGTTAAAACAAAGTCACAGCAACTGTCTTAACGGCAGCACACACCGAGATCCTGGCTAGAAACGAATCGGCTAAGTTGCTGCAGAAGTCAATAACAACTATAAAAATCCACAGCTGTTTACTTGAAAAAGGCCTATTTCTGCTGTAATTCATTAATGACTATCAACGGATGAACAAAACACTCCATTTTCAGATCAAACAAAATTTATTCGCCAATACGTGCGTCAACTATCTGTCCCATTGACCCATAGGCGGCGTTCCCAATGAACTGAAGAAGGCTTCAAAATAACCATGGTTTATCCACCTCACCTTTTCCTTTGTCCATTGCAACCAAGAACTGAGCGAATCTGAGACGCTGTCCAGCGAGGATTTTTCTGACACATGCTCTTCATTGCCCTTAAAAAGACAAACAAACGCACGTAAAAATAGTCTACATAATGCGCAGAAATCATATTCGCTACTTTTTCAACGTTCATACCTTGAACCAATAGATGTAGACCAACAAACTCTCAACAGACTGAATAGATCTGAAAAACTCTCAACAGACTTCACAGACCTGAAAAAGGTGCTCGAAAAAAATATAAAATTAAGCCTTGATGTAAGTTGTAGGTTAGCAGCAGAGTGCGACATGGTAGGCATGCGTGTGAACGTGTCAAAAACGAAAAACCTCCTTTTTATTATCCTTCCGGTTGCGCTCTACCGATAAACGAACAAGCAGTGGAACAGGTTGAGAAGTTCACTTACCTCGTGGTAGTGTCAACTGGTGATGGAAAATTGAAGAGGTCGACCGGCAGACTGGAATAGCAAGTGGCGCTCTGCGTGAATCGTTGCGATTAAAGCCGAGGAGTGTCTTAAGACTAAGCACTCGGTGTTCAAGTCGATCTTCATCCCCAGGCTCACCTATGGTCATGAGTCGTGGGAAAGCCTGAGAAAGTTCAATTCCGGGGCTGCAATGGGCTTACTGAGACGAATTGCTTGGCTCCCGTGTCTCTAAAAGGTTCGGAGTTCAAATATCCGAAAGTGCTCTGGTGATACCCGCCTCTTGTTCAGACTGAGAAATCCAAATTATGAGAGTTTTGGCATGTCCTGCGAACGGTTCCAGAAAGGAAGGTGAAACAGCTATAAAGTATTCAACCGACTGGCCACGAACTGCGGGGGAAGGATAAAAGTGACCAAGTGCCTCGACGCACTCTGCTCCATGCTCGGGTTTTCTTCTACCGAAGATCAGACGCTGGCACAGGATCGGGAAAGTTGGAGACGGTGTCCGACGCTGCTGCCGCCTTATAGAAAAGAAAGGATAAACGGTATTCGAAACTGACTGACTAACTGAGGAAAGAATTTTTGTATTTTAGTTCATTCCTAATAAGAAAAGTCGGCACAAGTCTTCTGAAACGCTTCATCTATGTTATTAGTCATCCCCAGTCGAAACCTTGATAAGGTACTAGGTACCACGATTAAACAGGGCATGAAATGGTAGGGTATACATAGGGTAGGTGAGCGCATCAGCTTCACGCCAACAAATACAAGCTGCTAGGATTTGACGGTTCAGGCGGTCAGCGCAATAGTAATTCAGTGATGTACTAATTCGCTCTCCTGCTATACTGGTCACCGACCGCTAATAAGTGCGGCGGAATAACGATGCACTGTAGCACTTTTGTACAGATTATGCAATAGCGGAAGAATACGACCAGATCGCAATAAACTTACAGAACCATGATTCAAACTAAAAAGTACGCGCTCACTCGACCGATGATCGAGTAACCCAGTGTTCGAGGCGGTACGTCATATTTACCTAACGCGAAATAGAATTCGTCGCCGCTGCACACACGGCTTCCACAAAAGCATGAACCGGACGATGCGGAAGCATCTCGCAGTATGAAACGCGTTAATTTACTCAGGAAGTACAGATATTTTACTAGAAACAATACGGCTACTTTTCGAAAATGTGAGCAACTTAGACTTCTTACAACTTTAAACGAACAAAACAAAGATTTACTTACTAGCCGATCTTGGCCTCCAGGACGTACTTCGTCAGCCGAATGTTCCATTGCACGCTCGACGGAACGTTTTATATTTTAGTCCATAACATGCAAGCCTACAGCTTGAAATAATTTAAGAAAAACTCTGTAAACTTTTCAGTATCTTCATCAGGACCCAATAATAGACAGCAACCGTAACGAAAGCAGCTGCTCCGAGGTATTTTGATCCTGGGAAAATGTTTATAGGCTTCATTGTAAAACATTACAACTGTTTACGGATGTGTACAATGAATCCTGTATAGCTTCAGTCGTCATCTAGTGTATTAACTGTGATGTGACAGACACTTCTACCGCGCCTATTATTAAGAATTTCCAATAAATCAGAAATTTATTTTGAATATCTATCCGACTTCTTTCAATAATTACGTATTTTTTGATAAAATACCTGTTCTGATTCCAAGTTTAAAGTGCAAGATTTAGGCCGTAGGTGAAACCCGTTGAAACAAACAAAATTGGATGGGAGAAGAATTACTCAGTGATAAGAAGTCAACTTTGAAATTTATACGTGCCGGGTATGAACTCAAAAATTTCTTTTATCTGCAAATTCCACTGAGCAAAGAATTTACGCCACTGTGTTTCAGCCATCTGAAAAACGGTAGTAAGTCGTTCACTTTGGAAACAGCGCGGTATGCTTGTGCAATCATATCAAAATGGTCGAAGCTTACAACTAGGTAATGTGAATACGTAAGCATTTCATGGCAGAATCCGCCAAGATCATACCTAGATCAATGATAAGCACGCGATGCAATAGTCCTAAATACGTGTCAAATACTTTGAATTTCAGTTAATTTATCATTTTGCAGTGACTTTTTTTCAAAACAGCGATTTGCCTTGCTTTATGGAAAGATCCAGCAGGCAGCGATAAAAATATCGCAGCGAAATAATTATAAAACTGAATAAAGACTTTCTCAGAACTTTAACTCACAACCTGTTCCTATGATTCTTATTCATTTTATTACAACAAAAGTTTTTCTGAAACTCAATTTTTCCATCGATCAGGTATTTTATAATTAGTTGTTTACTGTCTCACTGTATTAATTTCAAGATCTCTTTGGTCAGCGATGGTATGTTCTTGCAACACGTTTAGAAAATTTTGATCTCTTTGCTCTTGCAATAATATCACTAACCCTGTTTTTGCCTTTATCTGCAAATTCATTTTATAAATTTTCGTTGTTGCTTCAAAAGTGCATCCACCTATGCTGCGTTGTGCAGTTTGTCGTTTCTGAACAGATCTTACGCTTGGGTTTCATCAGTTGCGAATTAAGTTGAACGTGCACTAGGCGAAAAAGTTTCACAAACAACCAATGTTATAAACGATATGTTTATACACACAACTCCAAAGAAAAAGGCTTTTAATCTATTCACTTCAAGTAATCAATTCTGTTGTGCGTTATGGGCCATTAGTGGCATTCGTTTCAAGAAGGTGAATTTCTACCTTGTGGTCGATTTAGCAAAGAATAATTAAAGGAACCGTGTATCGTTGAAATGCTTCAGTGTTTCACACTGGACGATAGCAAATAACTCAGAAACCAAAACATGTAGTATTCTTTTCAGAAATAGAATCTCAAATGTAAGATGAAACTCAAAAAGTAATAAATTTTGAAAACCAATTTATGGCTAATAATTAGTTTTCTAATCAAGTACTTATTTTGCTAGCGTTTACAGATTTTATGTGCAGACGAACAATTTAGTTTTGTCACAGTATACTAAGTTCAGAAGGCCCAGGGGGACGACCAAGATTAACCTGGTGCAAATATACGGAAGGAGTCTGTTCCAGACC